CCCCAAAACCCCAAAACCCCAAAACCCCATAGTGCTAAATTTGAGTTTTGAAAATGGTAAAATCAAATAGCAATAGCAATAATAGTTAGCATCTTACACCTAATCAAATAGTTACTATTTAGTCCTAGGATGAAAGTTAAGAGAGTTCTCACGCTAGCGACAATAAAAATGATAAACCATCTTAAATAAGCAAATTAGGGTCGAACAAGTAATCTTAAAAGCAATCTTAGTTTTCTGATAAGTCAAAGGATATCAAAAAATCTAAGAATGATATCTAGCAAGCTTAAAAATAAACTCAACAAAGTGAGAATGCAAAGGAAAATTAAACTCCCATCAATGGCAGTACTACCCAGCAAGTAAATACCTTCCCAAGGAATAATAATCTATAAACTAAGAGAGTGATGATCTAGAAAAGTGATAATTTGAAGTAATTGGTAAAGCATTTTAGAGATTTTAAGGAGACAATGAATCTTAATTTGTAAAAGCTATATTAAGATACTAAAAAGATTATTTAAACTCTAGAGGATGAAGAATATTCAAGCTAAACTAAACAAACAGTCAAAGTTGGAGGATCTAGAAGCTCTAGTGAATCAAGTGATGGAGGATCAAGCTCTTCTTAATCAGAGGAGGAGAGTGGAAGGTAACCAGGAATGAATGGTAGAGCTTCTCATGGACAAAATGCAGGTCATGCTAAATAATATAAACCTAGAAATGATGAGTCAGATGAAGAATATGGGGTTCCAGGGTAGAAAAAAAGAGGAGGCAAGAGAGGCAGGCCACCCAAGCTAGATAAATATGGAAATCCAATAAAAAAGATATATGACCCTTCAAAATCTAATGCTGATAAGCCAATGCCCAAGCCTAAATATGATGCTGCAGGTAATTTGATCCCTCCTAAAAAAAGAGGGAGAAAACCAAAGAACTTTCAGTCCACTTTAAATACAGGGTCTATCAGTACACCCTCTGGATCTATAACAATAAAATCAATTAAACCAGTAGCGAATAACTAAGATTAGGAAACCAAAGATTTAGAAATGCTTTTGGAATAAGAAATGCAGGAAAAGGACCGAGAGTCAAAGAAAGATAAATAAATGGAGTAGGAAAATTCAGACTATAGTTCTTCCTCTTC